AGACCTTAGACATAAAGACAAGTGACTGGACTTAAATATCTCTCTCTGCTTGAGTTCAGATTATACCTCAAGTTGGGCATATAGTTTCCTAAGCATTCATGCGCTTCATCCTCCTGAAACAAGACCTGTTGTGATCCTACGTGCTTAAAGTGAATGTTCCACGATAGCCATAGAGTAAAGCTAGAGATGTTTCTAACTCTGAGTACCAATCAGTACAGTCACTAGCAGCTCATTTCAAGAACTAATCTTATACAGATTCAGTTGTGGAGTGCTCAAAGTGTTTTGAGTTACATGTACAGTATGTTAAAAAAAGACAATAGAAACAACAACAGAATTATTTTTGAGTGTGCCGGATTTGAACCAACAGATTAAGAGATCTCTATTTCCTATTTTTCTTTTGCACTTTGCAGAAATATCTTTCCGTGATTTTGTCTGAACATTATTTATTATAAAAATAAAATATATTATGTAAATGTGAGTTTAATGTCATTTGATATGACTTGAGATAAAATATTATAAAGAAGATTAATTCCAGGGCTTCCTATAAAGTACAGAATACATGTTTATTTTGGACAAAGAAAACCAAGTCTTTATTTGAAAAGATGTGATTAAATGCATAAGTTTAGATTATATTGTCATGCTAATTATCAGTGGTAGAAACCAATTAGGAGTAGTGCTACCAAATCACCAGACTACACTGCATATTAACTAGTATACCTTTACTGCTCTACTGGTTTTTTGCTGTAAGCAGATAAAAGTGAAAATATTTCCTTTAAAAGTCCATATTGTACATTTTGAGCTAGATCTTGTTCATTGTACTTTCATAAACTGTCCCACAGAAGTTACTAGAACTACTTGTGAGAGACAGACAGGCTCTGTCTATAAGAAATATATATGGCTGCTTTAGCTAGCAATTAAAGCAAAAATACAAGATGCAAAAAAACTTCTTTCGATTCAAATGCCTATTGTTTGAATAAGTAAAGTTGGTAATCTGTCATTTGCAAAATACTGGAAGTGAGATTTTCATTGAACCTACTATGTGAATGACATATATTTCTCAACATTACACACCTCATTTATCATTCTGGAATGAGGACCAAGTACCATATGAATGTAGAGTTTGTGAAGGTATTGCCTCACAGCCCTGGAGGCTGATGACCCCTTTATCTACACAGCAGGTAAGGCACAAATAGTGGCAATGTGAGCTCTCTTTGCAGTCCCCTGCCAGTATGCCTGACTGCTAAGCTGGGGGAACAAAGGAAAGATAGCATATGGATAGCAGATTGTAGGAGCGCTGAAAGAGGACTGAGGAAATCTATGTTGGGTGTGTGGCTCTGCCAAAGATCTCTTGTATGACTTTGGCCTTGTCACTTAATCTCCTTCTGTCTCTGTTCCCCTCTGCAAACAGGGAGAAGGCGTCTCTCCTCTCCCCCAGGCTTTGCCTGGAAATCTGTTCAGACTCTGAGTTCTCTTGGACAGTGTGCTTGTGCAGCATGGGGTGGAGTAAGACTGAGCTTCATTGGATCCTTTAAGGGCTGCTATCATACGATTAATAGGAATTACTACTAACAGCAGGGTAACAAGAAATCCATGTCTTTTTGATAGATTTTACTCATCTTCTCAGGCCATTCAATCTTTGGCCTCTGGGTGAAGGGTATGAACAAGGTAAGCAATTAGTGTCAGGAGCAGAGCTGTGAATTCTTCTGTTATAGGCTTGAAAACAATGCTGAAAATAGTGGCATTGGTGTTCTCTTTTTTCACCTGTCTCTTAGTGCCTTTGGAAGACATTTGTGCCAAAATAACATCAGAGTGTTTCTGCAACACACAAACTGAAGTGCTGTGCAAAAGGCTGTATTTTGCTTTACTTTGGCCTTGGGTATTGCTCCCTGGGGGATTCAAAAAAAACCCTCAAAAAATGTAAAGGCTAGGGTGGGAACTGTGGTTTCTACGTCTCTGTTATAGACTGTGCATATTTGTGGGGCAATATAAAGAATAAATAATAATGCACAAACACCGCATTCTGTGAGCTTGTCTACCAATTGTGCTGATGCATTACGTGATATAGCCACCGATAATGAAACTAGGATTTGATTTTTAGCTTCACCTAAAATGCATGTCTGTTTTGCACCTGCAATCTTGCAAATATAAATAATTTCATGTGTCATTTTTTGGACATACCCACTGGTAGATATAACTGATGCCGTTTATGGACGAGATTTTTCAGAGGAGCTATAGAAATGGAATTTCAAAATTACCTGAATGCTTAAAGCCTCTGTGCTCTTATATCTTTCTAACTGTACATCAGTGTATCTTCTCTCCCGACATAGGTGTTGCTGATCTAGAGAATATCACTTGCTCCTGCTGTTATGCAGATGTGCAAAAGAAAACTGGAGAAATAATGTAATCAAAAACCAAACCCAAGCACCCAAAGATCAGGGGACTCACTATTAGAGCTTGAACTCCCATTTCCAAAACAACTAGTGAGTTGCCTCTGGGTAGAGTTTGCAGTGGAAGGCTGGCTTTATTCACATCAGCAGAATAAAATAAGGCCAGGTTCTTCCGGGAGTGAATGGCTGGGCAAGACTGGGTTTTCAACACCCATTCCAAAGACTTACTCTGTGGTGACTATTGAATATGTAAGGCTGGAGCCCAGTATCCAAATCTCCATGGTCAGAGGTAAAGGAGATGTCACCTGAAACCCTTCAGAAGGTAGAATTTTCTTAATGCTCTGTCTTGTGCAAGCCCATTGAAAGAACACTTCAGAGGGCACCCATTTCTTACTAATGTAAACTTTCTGAGGAGTATCCAAAGATATGACCTCTAGGTGAACCTTTAACCTTCCCCTTAATTATTTGTTTGAAGACAGTGTGGAGTTCTCCTGCTGAGAGCCAAGGCCCATAATGCTTCGCAGCCCTGGGAGCAGGGGGGTGTGTGCAGGGAAGTGGAGAGGGACATAAATAAGGGGACCACCAGATGTAAATAATAAAAGTGGTTGGGGTTTAAATAAAAAAAACAAAAAAGCAATTTGGTTTCCCTGAAGAGTGGCCTGATTGAAGAAAAGGGGTTAGTAAGATGGTAAGTGTGTGCGTGTGTGGGGGAGTGTTTCTGTGATTTTTTACAGGCCTAAATAAGTGTTCATTCCATTCTTTAAAACCTTGCCATCTGTATACACCATTAGAAGCTCATGGGAGAAGAGAAAACAGTCTTATCAGGCTTTCCTGTTAATCTCTATTGGCCTTAACTTTAGCTGATAAAAGGCATGCTGGATGGAGGAGGTTCAGGTCAGCCTCCATTTGGTCAGGGTGGCAACATTACTGGAAAGTAGCTCAGCAAATAAGTCCTATCATGGACCTTTTTCTTTGAGAACGGAAACATGCCTCGAAATCACAGCGCTGGGGCAGGAGATGCCTCAGTCAGAAGGGAATAAACAAGTACATTGGCTGTGTCTTGAGTTTTTATTTTAATACCTGAAATCATGACTAATTCTGAGCCAGGATGACATTTCTGACAACTGAATGAAACTTTTCTTAAAGAATAAAGAATGTCTTTTGGATGTAAACAGAGAGATGCAAAAGAGCCTTTTAGTGTTACTTGTAGCGTTTATGCTTCTGTCTAGTAAAATTTCCATGACTGTGATTACAGAAGGTGCAATCAAAGGTGTACCACTGTCCTTTATTATCTGCAGAGGAATTTAACCAGGGGGTGTGAGGGAGTGAGGGAAGAACGACAAAAGGCCTTGCAGAGTTGATGCTATATGAAGGCCAGCAATTTACTAAATGAGCAAATGAACTTAGTTTTCAGTTAACTGAGTGAAAGACTTCGCTAGGCATTGGATCGGGCCCAATGGCAATTATTGGAGGCTGTTTTGGGTGATGGGCATGTTAGTATTTCTGAAGAGGATTAAACACTAGTATTCGACTTCATTAGCACTCCTTAAGGGTCACCAGCCGAAAGCCTGAGCTGTGAAAAAGCACACAAAACCTGCGCTAAGGCTCCAAATTGTTTCAAACACAAAGAGGAGGGACAAAAACAAGTGTGGCTCCTGAGTGATAGAAAATTGCCCTGTTTTGAAAGATATTCCGTGAATGGGCATGTTTTAAAATTATTTTAGGGAAATTAATTTAGCTTAGCTTGTGCTGATGTGGGTTGCTGCACATTAAGCTAATAAGAAATATGCAAGCACTTATTTTTTGATTACCAGCAAAATTAAATCCAGGCTCCACAGCCAACTAACTGCCTTTACCAGTGCTCAAAAGCCTCAGCAACCACCCCAGTTTGAGATTAAAAAAGGTTATTTTGGGCCTAATATTAACCACATGTACCTGTGACTGGGAGTTTCTAACGAGTTGAAAGGTGCCTGAGTTTAGGGCAGGCGGGCGGTCGCCTTGCACGGAGTGTCCCCGCTCAGACACAGAGGTGGCCCCCAGCTGGCACTGACCTCCAAACGACCCTTGCCTTTACAGGCTCCAACTAGCAGGAGTTGCAGAAGAGCAGAAGTCTTTCTAGGCCGGCACTTATTGCTGCTGTGCTGGTGATAAAACTTCAGACAGTCTAATTGATGGCTTTGCTGACCTAACGATACCTTGTGAAAGCACAGAGTGGAAAAGCCTGGTCCTCATTTATGGCCAGCTGCAAGGGGAGCTGGATCCCTAAGATGGAAAGGGGAAAAGAAAGTCTCCCAGCCTGTGAACTTTAACCAGGATCTGAGCCACTTAGAAAAAGTTAAAGAAACAATTGTCTTTTAACACAAGTTTTCGGTCAAAGCCTTCTGGCAAATACAGCTTTAAGCTGGCTAGTAAGATAAGCATGTTACCAGTTACAATTTCTGAGCACTTAGAGGAAAATCCTTTAAAGTGAAATTATACTCTTTTAAAAAAGCAACGCGAAGCAAAACACATTTCCACACCACACTAAAATCTTGTCAGTTTTAAAGCAGAGATGTTCTCAAAACACAGAAGCAAGCTGATGAAAGGACTTGTATTCTTTGTATTCTGTTGCAGGTTTATTAATGCCAGAAGAAGAATAGTACAGCCTATGATTGACCAGTCAAATCGAGCAGGCAAGTTCCAAGTAGTATCTGTATTCAAGTCCCACAGGCGCAAATCCTCATCAAGTTATTCTTCGGGAGTCCCATCACCTGGTAAATAAATGCTCCAACCAGGCATTCTGGGAGATTTTTTTTTTCTTATGTCCCCAGAATTCCGCTCTAGGAAGCAACTTCGCTAATTGGTGCTAATTGGAGATTTCCCACCCTGACTCTACTGAAACTGCTTTTTATTTTCTCTCTGAATTGGTAATTGGGTAGAAGTAGTAGTGCCACAAGCAGTTTGTTTTACTGTGAGCTCTTGAATTACTCATTGCTTGTCTGCATCCAATCAGCAGGACAATCTCATTTTCTTGCTACCCACAACCCCTTGGTATATGCATTGCTTTCACTTCTGGAAGGCAAGCTGTAAAACTCATTGTATCCATTCATTTGCTTTGACTATTCACAATGTGCTACTAATGTGACATGGTACCATACTGCCAGAAAATATTAAAAGATTATTACTTTTGTTTAAGAATGCACCAGATATGTTTACATTAAAACATATGATTTTTATAACTATACCTTTTCCATGTTTCCATTAAAGCACTCAGAATATGTAATGCTTTACACAACAAGTGGTGCCATGTTAATCATTCCACTTTCTAATATGCATTTCCTCAGCATACTAGGGAGTTGAGGTTTCCTGACATGAGGTTACGGAATAAAACTATTTTCCATGTGGTGATGACTGTTGTCACTAACAAGGGCTTTAACTTGATGGTGATTTCGCCTGCTACTTCACTTAAAGGTTTTTGAAAAGGTTATTAAACCTTTGGGAAACTCTTCCCATGTAGCATTAATTTTCTTTTTCATTAACAGGTGAAAAAGGGGGAAAACACTAACTCAACTAACCATGAAAAACATTAAGCCAAATACAGAGTGTATACATAAATAGGAAAAGGCATGTCCAGAATTTCCCTATTCTTTCTAGAGTAGGTGAGAGTGGTTTCATAAGTTTTCTTAAGTTTCATCATAAATACCCTGTGTCACAGATGCCAGATTTGCAACTTTGTGTAATTAGAGAGGAACAGAATAGGTACTTACTTCATTAAGAAAAAACACATAGCACTTCAACGGGTTTCCACTGTTTTGCATTAAAGGTAAGTAGAGAAGCAGATTCTAAGCAAGTGAACTGACTTGACAAACTTGTTTATTGAGCCCCTCTATAGCATTTTTATTCTATAGTCCTGGTAACATAATCAGCTCATAAAAAGCACAACCTGAGTTTAAACTGACAGCCAAGATATTGTATATAGCGTTTCAGTGCTGAAGCTGGAACAATTGCTGATTGTTTGGTATGTCTTCTTTTCTTTCTCCTCTGTGTCCACGATTGACTACAATCAGGTTTTCTTCTTGATCCTTCAGTGAGCCAAGGAGCAGCATATAGTCCAGAGGGTCAGCCGATGGGAAGCTTTGTATTGGATGGTCAGCAGCACATGGGAATCCGGCCTGCAGGTAGAGTCTTTGTGTCCTCGTCTGCAGCTGTGCTAGCCTCCTCTCCCCC